ACTTGGATTGTGGATTTAAACAAGACATGCACTCCTAACAGGACATTTACATTTGATATCTCTCTCTGATCATGGAAGGAAATGCTGTATCTCTCTTTAAGGTAAGTTTGGGCATCAGCAAGTGGGGGAAGAGCTTCTTGGAGCCTTGCTTTTGAGTCTCATCTCATGGTTTTCCAAGTTCTTCACATCCTCCATCTCCTTAAAAGTTGGCTGGAGATAAAAGGGTAATGTCACCCTGTAAGGACTGTGCTCTTCATTCACAGATGCTGCTCCACCTGGAACAGAAATGGCCTATAACCACATTTCCATGGCTTTATGATCCACAATAAGGAGATTGACCATGTCAGATACCAAATAGAAAAAGAGAGACAGCAAGAATTCATCTAGTCATCTATCCAAATATATTTGTTGAGGTCTGTGTAGCTGGGAGCTATCCAAGGTACTGGGTGTACCAGTAGAAAACAAGATAAGCAGCATCTGCCCTCACAGAGCTTATGGTCTGGTGGGCTATATAAACAAGGAGCAAATATGGGTAATAAGTGTTAGGTATAAATAAAAAGAAATTACGAGGTGCTATGGTAAGATGATGCAAAGTCTAATCAGTGGCATGCTGAGTCTAATTACTGGCTCTACCAAAAATTTTTTTAAAAGGAAAAAGAGAAAAAGGCTCCTGATTAATAGTGTTTGCCAATTTCCATGGTATAAAGATTTCCACTAATTTCAAGCAGCAATGTGATGTCACTGAATGGAGTTACAAAAAAAGTATAGTACTTTTTCCTTATCCATAGGGGCTATATACCAATACCCCCAATGGATGCCTGAAACCATGGCTAGTACTAAACCCCATGAATACTATGATTTTTTTTTCTATACATACATACCTATGGTAAAGTTTAATTTATAAATTAGGCCTAGTAAGTGACTAACAGCTAATAATAAACTAGAACAATTACAACAATATACTGTAATAAAGTTATATAAATGTGGACTCTCTCAAAATATATTATTGGAATATTTTCAGACAGTGATTGACTGTCGGTAACTGAAACTATGGAAAGCAGAACCATACATCAGCAGGAACTATTGTACAAGCCAACAACAGGGCCTTGCCTGGATCTAAGCCAGTTAGGGTAGGAGAATGGGAATGTCAGGAAGGCTTTCTGTATAAAGGGCTATCTAAGATGAGAACTGAAAGATGAAGAAAAATGAGTCAAATAAAGAGGGTCAAAGGCAAATATTCTACACGTAGATGACAGCATGTGTCAAGGCCTGAAAGGTGAGAAAGAACCTCACACACCTGGAGAATAACTGATCAATGTGGATCAAGGGCGTGGTGCTGAGTGATATGTGTGTGAAGGTAGATGGGAAGGGGCTTGTATACATGGGCTTTGTATATAGTGAGCTGTGTATATATGCATGAAATTGTGTATACATGTGTATAGTATGTTATCCGTGTATTATATGTGTGCTTATTCACATGTGCATGTAGTACAATGAGTGTGTGTATGTGTGTGCATGCATGCTGGTGTCTTATTCAACTCCAGCTGTCATAACAAAATATACACTGGGTGTATTGAACAAATGACATTTATTTCTCACAGTTCTAGAGGGTGAGAAGTCTGAGATCAAGGGGGCAGTGGATTTGGTGTCTGGTGAGAGCCTCTTCCTGGCATGCAGTTTGCTACCTTCTCACTGTCTTCACATGGCAGAGAGAGAGCTATGGTCTCTTTCTCTTAAGGGACACTATTCTCATTATAGGAGCTCTACTCTCATGACTTCCTCTAAACCTAATTATCTTCCAAAAGCCCTGCTTTCAAATACTGTTATGGTTTGGCTGTCTCCCCATCCGAATCTCATCTTGAATTGTAGCTCCCATAATTTCCTCATGTTGTGGGAGGGACCCAATTAGAGATAATTGAATCATGGGGCGGTTTCCTCCCTACTTTTCTCATGGTAGTAAATAAGTCTAATGAGATTTTATGGTTGTAGGAGGAAAAACCCCTTTCACTTGGTTTTCATTCTTCTCTTGTGTGCCACCATGTGAGACACCGCTTTCACCTTCCACCATGATCGTGAGGCCTCCCCAGCCATATGGAATGGTGAGTTGATTAAACCTCTTTCTTTCGTAAATTGCCGTCTTGGGTATGTATTTATCAGCAGCTTGAAAATGGACTAATACAGTAAACTGGTACCAGTAGAGTGGGGCACTGCTGAAAGATAGCAGATAATATGGAAGCGACTTTGGAACTGGGTAACAAACAGAGGTTGGAACTGTTTAGAAGGCTCAGAAGAAAATAGAAAGTGTGAAAAACCTTGGAACTTCCTAGAGACTTGTTAAATGGCTTTGAGCAAAATACTGATAATGATATGGACAATGAAATCCAGGTTGAGGTAGTTTCAGATGAATATGAGAAAATTGTTGGGAACTAGAGCAAAAGTGACTTTGTTATGTTTTAGCAGAGACTGGTGGCATTTTGCTCCTGCCCTAGAGATTTGTGGAACTTTGAACTTGAGACAGATGATTTAGGGTTTCTGGTGGAAGAAATTTCTAAGCAGCAAAACATTCATGATGTGACTTGGGTGCTGTTAAAAGCATTCAGTTTTAAAAGGGAAACAGCATAAAATACACTCCTTTCTATTATTATTAATTTTCGTATGCATATCCTTTTCCATCCTTTGACTTTTATCCATGCTATTGAATTAGAAGTAAATTTCTTATAAATGGCATATAGTTGGGTCATGGTTTTTATTCACTCTCCAATCTCTGTTGATTGGTATATTCAGACCACTGACTTACAATTATTAATATATTAGTGCTTAGGCCTACCATTTTATTATTTGTTTCCTTTGGTTCTTGTTCCTGCTTTGCTTTTCTTGGGTTCCAGTGGGCTAAACTTTTTTATAAATTCATCTTAATTGATTTATAGTGTTGTTGAATGCACATCTGTGTATAGTTTTTATAGTGGTCGTTTTGTGTATTACATTAGACATATGTGACTTAACATAGTCTATTGGTATCAACATTTAACCACCTTGAATGAAGTGTAGACACATTACTTGTATTTAGGTCTCTTACCTTCCCCATTAAAAAAAAATCTTTGTCTTCTGTATCAGTATTTTTTAAATCAAAAATGTATTTACAAAACTCATGAAGAATAGTCATACATATGTGCACATATTTCTTGTCTTTCCTTTGTTTCTTCTTTCCTGATACGCCAACATTTGTTCTTTTATCACTTAATTTGTGTTTAAATAACTTCCTTTAGTCAATCTTTAAGAGTAGGTGTGCAACAAATTGAAGTTTTAGAATTTAAGTTTGGAGGATAGGAGGTGTATTAGTTTATTGTCGTACTCCTATAAAGAAATACCAGAGACTAGATGATTTATAAAGAGGTTTAATTGGTTCATAGTTATGCAGGCTGTACAGAAAGCATGATGTTGGCATCTGCTTGGCTTCTGGGGAGGCCTCAGGAAACTTACAATCATGGTGGAAGGTGAATAGGGAGCTGGCACTTCACAAGGCCAGAGCAGGAGGAAAAGAGAGATGGGCGAGGTGCCACACACTTTTAAACAACCAGATTTTGAGATCACACTCTTTCACTATGACAGTACCAAGGGGATGGTGTTAAACGAAAACCACCCCCATGATCCAATCACCTCCCACTAGGCCCCACCTCCAGCATTAGAGATTACAATTTTACAGGCTTTTTAGTGGGGACACAGATCCAAACCATATCAAGAGGCTTCCGATACTCCTTTTTAAAATTTATTTTTTTCTTGGCCGGGCGCGGTGGCTCAAGCCTGTAATCCCAGCACTTTGGGAGGCCGAGGCGGGTGGATCACGAGGTCGAGAGATCGAGACCATACATGGTGAAACCCCATCTCTACTAAAAAAAAAATACAAAAAATTAGCTGGGCATGGTGGCACATGCCTGTAATCCCAGGTACTCAGGAGGCTGAGGCAGGAGAATTGCTTGAACCCAGGAGGCGGAGGTTGCGGTGAGCCGAGATCGCGCCATTGCACTCCAGCCTGGGTAACAAGAGCGAAACTCCGTCTCAAAAAAAAAAAAAAAAAAAAAAATTATTTTTTTCTTGATATAGTTTTTGCCTTGTGGCTAGCTTTAATGCAGGCTGATCTAGTTCTGCTTTTATAAAGATGTTTAATTTAAATAAGATTTTCTAGGTACTTTTTTTTTTTTTTCCATCTTGGTTAGATGACCCAGTCCTACCTATATAGGCCCAGGACATCAGAACATTTAATTATTACTACACTCTGATTAATCTTATCTCATTAAGATATAAATTGTAAAACTCTGAGCTATATGGACCTGACCCCATAAAGATGTAATTAAGACACCTTTAGGAATATGAGTAAGCATACCATAGACTGTGAAAATATATTGGCAATCTGACAAAGGACATGGATCCATATTTAAAGAGCGTCTGCAAATACACAATGAAAACAAAACCTAAATTTTAAAAATGGGAAAAATATTTAAATACATACTTCACAAAAGAAGATATATGAGTGACCATTAAACACATGACATTTTCAACGTTAGTTATCAGAGAAGCAGAAATGAAAATTACAATGAGTTACCATTTCAGACACACTAGAAAGGCAAAGTACAAAAGACAACACCAAATGTTGGCAAGGCTGTGGAGTCAGTGGAAGTTGTATGTAATACTGATGGAAATGAAAATGGTAGAAACACTGTGGAAAACTATGTGAAAGGTCCTTATAAAGCTAAGCATATTCTTACCCTATGACCCATCAATCCCCCTAATTGTTCATTCATAACCAATCCTTGGCACTCATATGTTGTTTTTCCTGCCCTCATATTTCCCTGCTCTTTACTTTACTATTCTTATGTTTCTTCTATTCTCTCATTTTCCATCTCCAATGGGTTCTTTCTAACTAACCATAAAGAGACTCATTTCTTCTACATTCATTCTAGGTGGTATACATGTGATGCCAAAATTATAATCATAATAATTTAGTATTATATATATATTGCCAAAATAAGATGGCAATTATTTTCATGATAATGGCTATAGATGTTAGTTATGTGTCAAAGGTAACAATGAAAATGGAATATATGCCAATATAAGAAAGACAATATTTGGATTTTAAATCTTGTCTCATGTACCAATAACACAACATTCTTACAACAGAAAAAAAACATCAGAGTCAGTTGAAAACTTCATTTATTATATACCAATATACACTTTATGTAATAAAAAAGAAGGCTCCCAATACATCGAGTCATCTTATAAATGAAATAAGAAAATAGAATTTTCATCTGTTTACAAAGGGGTTAAATTAGTCAGCACAAGCTACCATATGTATGTCTGCCCTGTAGTATATGTGAATTTTAATCCTGGTTATGAGGAAAAAATGGTGCTTTATTATTTGGCACTATAGTATTGCTGTTGAATATTTGTATAATTACACACAGTGATATGTTCAAATTAGTAATTTTAAATGTAAATCGTTCAAAATATACACTGCATTTATAGTTTTCCAATATTTTGTGTTAATCTTTGCTATTTACATGTAAATATGTTCAGAATAAACATTTTTTAACATTCAGAAGATACCTTTCTCCACTTTCTATTTTTATATACTCTTTACATGAGTGAATGCTATTTGGCAGATTTTTTTTCAAATAAGAGTAGCTCAAAAGTTATATTTTCTAGTAATGCTCAATTTCCATAAAAAAGTGCACCATTTAACAGTATTATGCCTCTAGAAAATAACGCATAAAACCAGCACAGTCCAGAGAAACGATTGAAATGTGATTTAGTAGTATCATACATGTATGATACTTGTATTTCATAATTGGCTTTACTAAAATATACACAACAGTGTTCTTACTATAATTTGAAAAAAAAGCAACAAACTCCAGAAATTTTAGGCTGTGAGTAGGAATTTTTAAATCCATTTTTTGTAGGTTTGTTACAGAAGGGAGTGAGAATGATCATGTGCATTCCTTTGTAGTGTTAGCACTTACACTTTTACGGAGAACCACTCAACATTGTATTAAATCGTCAATGAATGTCAGCAAACACCTATGTGAGCGAAACTGAACTAAATCCTATTTTAGACATGCTAAATGAAAATAATAACTTTAGTATTGATAATAATTTGCAAAAGGGAACTTATTTTCTTGTAGATTATCCTATTATTGTAAACATTGAAGAAGAGCATTACCGAACTGTCTATAACTTAGGTTTCAAATTTAAATTATCCCCAGACATTTGTAGACAGATAACATATGGATGGATTTTTGAGCCCCCCAGCTTAAGTCCCTGCCCCCACCCCCAATAATATAAATGCTTTGACTGTGAAGAAAAACTACATATGTAAAAAATAAAAATCAAATGTACCACACATTAACATTCTGATGACTACAGAATAAGATTATATACATAAACATATAGCAAATCACAGTTTCCTGCACTGAATGTTTATGAAATAAAAATGTATCAAACAATACTGGGTAGTGTATCTCCACATGAATTGTGGTCTTCTAAAAATTCTGAATGATGGAAGACGAGAGGGAGAGCATTGTTCAATGACAAAAGTATGACAAGAGGATTTCAGAATAACATGAAAAAGTGGATGCTTTCTAGAACAGGCAGTTTAGCTATAAGGGTTATTTTTGTTGTTGCTCTATGATTTAAATAAAGCCCCTCTCTATATTTAGTGTTTTAACATTTAAATATAAATGTTTTAACATTTACCAAAAATCCATTGAAGAAGTCACTGACTCAATGTCACAAACAGGATGGGCATATCATTTTGCTGTTGACAATAAGATGCTCTAGTCTGACCATTCATGTACCTTACAGGAACAGTTCCTAAGACTTAAGTTTTGCCTCTGTTAGTAAACAGACCAGAGTGTTTGGTGCAAGACTGTGAGAAGGCATTAAATGGCAATAGCTTTGCCACCAGGGCATTTTTGTTTGATGTTCTGATAATACAAATGTTTGGTACTTTTTTTAGGGGGTGCAGGGTAAGGAGACGGCGGGTGAAAGAGTACTGTCTGATGACTGTTACACGCAGCTAACCTTATTCTGCTTGTAAAGCATCAAAAATACACCTTCATCCTCTCACACTGCTCTAGTAAAACCTGGGTAGAAATGTACACCACAGATTTTATTTTAAACTCATACACAGACGTTATTGAAAAAAAAAAACAAAACAGTGATTATTCTCTTCTGCAGGTGCCTGCTGATATTACTGGTAAACGTTTTTGGAATCTTACTGTTATTTCCTATGAATAACATTCCAATCAAGATAATTTGAATGTCTTTTGGAGTATAACTTGCAACCATTTCCAACAGAAAAAGAGAGTATTTTTCCTTGGGTTAGTGATGCTTGGAATTTGGAGGATCATAAATCCAGTCAATTATAATGAGCGCCATGCTTCCAATCATGAAGATGATTCCAACCCCAAGGAAAATTAAAGCCTGTAAGTCAGAAAAACTTTGTTAGAAACACAGAAACCATACTTAGTACAATTTGTTTTTCAGTTGTTTATATAATGTGGCAATCTGATCTATATATTGAGTCATATTGTTGTTAATAGCTCAGATGCCCAGGCCTAACCAATCAGTCAATTTAGAATCCAAGTTGGAGAAAGAAGAGGAATACAGTGGAGAGACACAACTTAAATGTTTAACAATGCAGTAATACTTAATTGATTTGGTATATCAAGATGATGGAATACCCTGTGATTATTAAAAATCAAGGGACAAAAAAAGAAAAGGTCATAAAAGAATAACATGTATGATACGATTCTAATTTTATAAAGCAAACAAAACCAAAAGCTCAATAGATGTTGCAACAAAAAGTGTATATATGTGTGTGTGCATACATATAATATACACACACACATATAAGGATATATATACATACCTACATATAAAATACTTCAGCATTTTAACACTAGAAGAGGCCTTACATTTTATCACATACTTAAACCTCCTAATTCTATGTATAAGAAAGCTAGAAATTTTTCACTAGAAAGGGTCTAGGAGATAATTGTACTCATTTTACAGTTGGTCAAACTTACAATAGGTTACAAACAGGACAAGTAATTTGCCAAGTTCACATTGCTGTAAAAGTTGAAGCAAGATGGACTACACAGAGTTAATATCTGGGGCAAGCTGATGGGTGGAGCTTTTGATACCAAACTATCCTGAAGTTCCCTGAAATATCCCAAAGGTAAATGACTACAGGTAAAAATTCAGAGTAATTCAGTAAGAAATATTCTTTTCAAGCCTTAATATGACTTTATTAAGGAGTGAATAATATTTTCTTATTAGAAAAACAATTATTTCTAGCATTTGTTTCTATAGTAGTCTTATGGAAAAGAAATATATAATCCCTAATTTAATAAGACTGTATTTTATATTTAAAGAGGTTAACAGAATAATGAATGGTTCTGTTCTGGATCTTGGTCCACACCAGGCCCAACAGAGTACTATGGAGGGGAAAACAAAAGCAACATCTTTCCTTTGGCTTTGCAAACCCAAGAAACATGATCAAAATATTAAAATTATTTCATAACACCGCTAGGGAGCCTACTTCCTTCCTGCATGATTTTCCATGAATAGTGCAACAGCAGCTTGGTATTGGACACTGCTATGCACAGGAAGCTTATGTGCCTGTGGGAAAGACACATACGCTTTTTTTTTTTTTTTCTTTTTTTGGAAATGAACGTAAATTTATTGAAACTGGTTTTGGGGTGGGGGGTGGGCGGATAGCTGGGGATTTTCCAAAGAGAACTGAGGAAGGCACCAGCGCCGGGCCAGATGGGAGCGCGTGCCTGACCACAAACCCTATTTCAGGCCCAGCTTCATCTTTTCCTTCTGCTTCTTGCGGACCACGTCCAGGTTCCAGTCCTTCACATGCTCTTGCGAAGCTTGATGGGGCGCGAGCCCCCATACTTCCCATTCATCTCACGCATGGCGCGCACCTAAGTCACGGGGGTCCTTGAAGCTGACGAAGCCGTAACCCTTGGTCTTGCCTCTGTGCTTGTCACGAATCACCTTGGCCTTAAGGAAGGATGTGAAGCGGCTGAAGGCGCGTGCCAAGATGTCATCGTTCATCTCATTGCCCAGATCCCCACAGAAGATCCGGAAGTCATCTGCGTCCCAGTCCAGTCTGGAGTCCTCCCAGCTGCTCCCCGCGGCTGTGCGAATGCAGCATTTCAATTTCTCTGGCTTCCGCTTCTTCTTGTCTTCACCGAGGGGCTCTGGGACCTCGAGAGCCATGAGCCCAGGGGGTGGCTCTGGCCGAGGGGGCCAGGGCCGAGGACGCAGGGACAGGAGTTCAGGAATGCGCAGCGGGGCCAGGAGGCCTGGGACAACCTCCAGTGGGAGGGGCATGGGCAGGGCCAGCGGCAGGCTGGGCCCAATGACTGCAGGGCCAGCTGGGGCTCCTCCCGCCCCCACGGCCACAGCCGCACTAGCCTCCTCCAGCCCAGCCTCCCCCACCACTGCCTCTTCCTCTTCTTTCAGGCCTAGCCCCAGACCTAGGTCCAGTTCTTGGGGTGCTGATGGCTCTTTCAGAGGGGGCCTCAGCACAGCCATCAAGCCCAGTGGGGGCCCTGGAGCCCGAGCCATTGGTGGCAGCATCATGGGTAGTCCAGGGGGCCCAGGCAGAGGGGGGGCCCACCAGGGCCTGGTGAGGGTGCTGCAGGGCCATAGGGCAGGGGCCGGCTGCTTCTCGCGGGGGAACATGGCTTCTCGAGCCTCAGGACTGTCCAGGTGACTCCAATCTCCAGGGCCAAAGCTTTTTGACATGTATGACAGACTCAACACAGGATATTTGATATTTGAAGAGAAGGAATCTCAGTAGAATCATTTGAGTTTCAGAAATATACCTCCTTTCTCTGCTACCAGAGAGTTCTAGCCCATTTTTGATTTTTGATTCTTAAACGTTGATTCATTTTTCTGAACTATGTGTATTTTCCGGTTTATTCTAAGTTGAAGAACAACCAATAATGGGGGGAATTGCAAGGTTTACTTACCCCGATTTTTTGGGGTGACCTAAGAGGTTCTTTCTTGACAAGTTTAAGATAAAAAACTGCTGGAAGAATAAAAATCAGCATAGTAGCAGAAGAAGCCCCTGAGAAGACAAACACAGGGCAAGGTCAGTATCTCACCCAGCAGGTCTCAGCCAGCAAAGGATGTGTCAGCACACACTTTAAATAAACCAAATATAAAGCTATACTTAGCACTAAAAACACATACTCAAGTCACATAAGCTCATCTTGGTTGTTTATTCATAGAAGATGTGTTTATAGAGATAATTAAAATGTACCTAACATCAAAGCTACATAAGTATATGTAACATATAATAAGCAACAAAAGGCTGAATTTAACACAAATTTACAGGGGATTAGTAATATAAATACATACTAAGGTGGCTGAACTCATGATGCACCCTATCCATCTCTTATTTTTCAAGTTGCCTACACATGATTCTTTCAAAGTTTTAGATTGTGTTTAAAATTTAAGTAACCCCTCAATCAGACTGAAAACGGACCATGCAGTTATGTGAAGTATTAATAATACGCTTTACAAAATCAACCGTTTATTCCTCTGAAGACGCCTTTTAATGTTCAGCTGATACTCATAGACCTCAGAGAGCTTCTGGTAGGTAAAATCTATCTTTTCATGATGACACAGCTAATACCTACATCAAAATCCTGGGTCCACACCAAGGTATATGACTTGACTTCTATGGGGCTCAGTTTCCTCATCTGTCAGAAAAAGCAGCTGGACTAAATAATCTATAAGGTGGCTGCCAGTGTCACTTAGGAGAAAGAGAAAGTGACCAACTTACCTACCAGAGCCTCGAAGAGATAAAGGGAATCTGTGAACCCGAGAAAGGAGGGGATCTGGATGACCCAGCACTAGTTCCCTGCCCACCATTTAAGGAGGCATAAGTTTGGGCTGACCAAATTAAAGCCTTTCTGAAACTCACCTATGAATCCGAAGATATATTTTATAGTTGGCACAAGGATGACCAGAACATTGTTAAGTGCAATAAGCATGGCTGCGATCAGGAAATGTCTTATCCAGCTGAAGGGTCTTTTGGGAAATAACAGTGTAGTCACTGATGTACGAATCTGGAACAAGAAAGTTCAAAGGTGAGATCATTTATTTGTCTTTGACTTCATCTACTATTTCAAATATTCTCATCATTCTAAAAAATTTCTTCCTTTTTCTTTTTTCCCAGAAAAGATCTTGATGCTTTTTTTTTCAATTTTTTATTATGGTAGAACATACATAACATAGAATTTACCATCTTAACCAGCTTTAAGTGTACAGTTCAGTAGTATTAAATATAGTCATTTCAGTCAACAACAGACCACGTATAAGACAGTGGTACCCTAAGGTTGTAATACTGTATTTTTACAATACCTTTTCTATGTTTGGATACACAAATACTTAGCATTATGTTACAGGTACCTACATTATTCAGTACAGTAACATATTGTACAGGTCTGTAGCCTAGGAATAATAGGCTATGCCCTATAGCCTTGGTGTACAGTAGACTCCACCATTTAGACTGCAAGTACACTCTATGATATTTGCACAATGACAAAATTGCCTAGTGATGCATTTCTCAGGATATGTCCACAATTTTAAGCAACACATGACTATACATTCATCTTGCTGTGCAGTTTTGATGCTAACTTTTGATATTTGAGGCAGAGTGTCATTTTTTCTTGGTGTGTTTTATAATACAATATTTTATGTGTTCACTTTCTTAGTTTTCAGAATTTATTGTTAAAAATAATCCCAACCAGAAAGAGATAACAGGTAAGACACATAATTCAGAAACACAGTGAAACCCTTATTGATCACTATTCATGTCTCATCAGACTGGATTAGACATTAAGGGCAAGCACAGAATTGACATACACAAGACTGTTAAAGGAATTTTTACAAATCTAGGTCTTCCCTAAGTTTGCATTTCGTTTAACATTTTGCCATCTGGCATTTTAAAATTTTGATGTCTTTGTGTTCGCTCCTTTCTCTTTCTCTCCTTTTTACCTCTCCCTATTGATAGATTGTAAGTCTACAAAAAGCAAGGAACAGGACCTAATAAGCTTAACATTCCTCAGACTTTCTAGCTTAGCGTTGTGCACACAGCAGGCACTCAATAAAAGCTTGAATTAAATTGAATAGTAGAAATCTTTTCCTTCTCTTCAGCATTCTTGACAGATTTCAGCCTTATTTTAGCAGTTGAAATAAGTAGGGGAAGGGTCAGGAGAGGCTCAGCTGCTCAAGTTACTCTGTTGTAACTGGATAAAGTGCCCTGTGGGCAGAGGGAGGGAGTGACATTTGTGTTGTACACCTTAACAAAGTTGAAAACACTCTTATGTTTGGAATCTTTTAGAGGACAGTTTTTTGACTTAGTGGAATTTATCAGTTTTTCAATAAGTAGATACTTCAGTTCAGCTAGGAGTTCACAGTTTTGGAAATGCTGTGATTGATTTTTCACTTTAAAATTTTAGTTCGGAAGTCACTATGGTACAGAGATGGGAACTCATCTAAAGAGAGAAAATGTAAAATATATTTTGAAACATGTATGAATGACAAAAAATTCAAACTAAATGGCTTGCAGTTTCTCATGTGACATTCCTTTCATACCACTACACCAGAAATTAAAGCCATCTGTTTAGGCTGAAACAGCAATTTCATTTCTAGAATGACAAACCAGATAGTCTCTGGAAATAGTTTAAGAATAACTGTGTAAAGGATTTTAAATATTGGATTAGTGAACATTATGAAACTCATTCTGAAAAGTAAACTGAGGAAAGCAAATGGTGTGATACTGTTTTCCTCATCAGCCTATCTACGTTATCATCTGCAATTAGTGTTTATTCAATATGGTCCAAACTGGTCCAATTAGTAGGCTTAAAATAAGGGTTTCATGTTATATACATAGTGGTTGAGGACTTAATTTGTTTCACAGTGTTAAACTGATAGTATAAACAAGTATGAAATACAAGTTCATTTTCAGAAAATACTCAGTTTGTTTTTCAGTCATTTGTTAAAATGGTGCATTCAAGTCAGTAAGCTGAGTTATAGTGAGTTAGAGGCAGTCCTATATGTCAAGGGACCCTGAATATGAAAGCGATCTCCTGGCTCTCAGAAAGGCTAACATTGGCCTAATGATATGAGAGCACAGAAAGTTTATGAGAATAATAGGTAGAATGGTTGGAATAAACGCGAAAGCTTCCTCCTCTTTGTGAATAAGAAATAAGAAAATCCCAAACAGAACTGAAGGCAGTTTCCAATACCTTCCTGAAGAGGGCAACAGAGCAAAGAGGGAGGGAGGTACTAGGCTAGTGGTGGCGGTGGAGAAGATCCAGAAGCAAACTTGCTGGTCATTCCAGGGTTAAAAAGCTTCCCTGAGGAGGGAGCCTAGGACCAAAAGGCCCTCAGCAGTTCTGTTTACCTTTCAGGACAGGCCACTGGCTTATTCCCACTGAGCCTCATCTGCTCTTTCACTTAACTATGTGCCCTTTTGTTTATTGACACAAGCCGCTAGGAACCTGGAAGTGTGGGTCAGATGCTGTGGGTCAAGGAGGTCTGCAGCACCATCCGGGGCCTCTGACCCAGAATGATTCAATTAAGGTTCTAGGCAGCTCTAGAGACAACATCTGTTATTTCCAGAGGGAGAGTCCTGAACAGGAGCCTGTGAGGGGATGCTGTATTCTGATGCAGCGACCAATGTGAAGGTCAAAAATATGGAGGCACAGGAGAAAGTGAGAGCCTTAGCTCTCTCTCTTTTTTTTTTTTAATCCTCTCACATTGTTTAGATGTAGCTTACACTTTCACTTTGCAGGTTGGCTTAGGGCAAGGATGTTGGAAGTACCTACCAATCACTACTCCACTGCAGTTCATAGCAATATATGCTGCATTTCTATGCTGACATCTACATACACTTCAAAACAGAAGATCTGAAGGCAACGTAAGTGAAAAGAATAGTTATAACTATAAGATGGAATACGAGTAGCTAGGGATCATTTTTCAAAGGCATGGCAGGTGAAGTTTGAGTCTGTGTGTTCATAATATATCCATTAGGATTATTTGGTTTCCTGTTCTTTATGGAAGTATGGGAACTTTACTGCATAAAGGGAAGCACAAGCTGAAAATGGTGTGATCAGTCCTCTGGAAGGAGCTGCCATTCCATATAGAAACCCCATCTACTACTAAGAGAGAAAGAAATGTTGGGCTGCTAGTGAAAACACTACCTTAATTCATTTCATTTATTCATTTGTTCAACAAATATTGCAAGCAGTTACTATGCACCTTTTACTAAAAAGGAAAAAACTAAACTGATTGGAGAAAAGAAAGATAATAATGAAGTAAAAGAAAAACAAACCCCAGTCATGTCTTCTCAGGCTCCTAAGAAAGACAGCCCAGCTGTCATGTTGAAAGGAGAACACAAAATCATATCTAAAGCTGATAGATTTTAATCTAGATTAGTTTTTTTGTTTTATTATTTAGATGTGGAGATATCAAGACAAGTAAATCAACATCTTATTGTTCAAGAGTTTCCTTAAATTAAATAAACTGTCAGGAGAACCATGCTGTGACTCAGCAATTGACACACTGAAAATCTGAGCCCTAAGTTATATGAAATAAACAAGCAAAAGCACCAATAACAACTTTTAGCATTTCAGTAATGAAAAAAAAATGAGTTTAGCCTCGGAGGGCTTGACTGACATCCATTCAAGGAGATTAGACCACTCTCTGTCACCATCTCTATGTATCCATCGTCTATAAAGAGGTTTGGTTCATTTAGCCCAGATCCTCAACGTAACTGAATTCATGGCACATGTATGTCACCAAGGGAAAGATTGTCTATGCTTTTGCAAGAAATGGCAGTTTATACATTTTAAAAGAAGACAAGATTCATTTGGAGACCATTTTTCTTCCCAAGCACAACTGGGCTCACCCTCTGTGCCAGTCACTGTGCACATCCCCAGTCCCCAGGGATTTATAACTCTGGGGCAGGGGAGCACTTACAGAGATTATTTAAATGTAACATTGCAAGAGTCAGGACAGGATAATGTGCAAAATGTTTTATAAATACTAATGTTGAGTGGAAATACATAATGAAGGGTAGCAATTAGTCATTTTTCTGAACTCTGGTTCTCATGGTCAACTTTGGTTCTAATGGCACCTAATGTTTACACACTATTGCTATTCCTGATGGACAGATTTATAATAATAAATCTTTCTCACATAGAGTAAGAATTTCTAAGGTGAGATTTGGATTTTCAGTGCTGAAGTGAAATGTTCATCAGTAAATGACTTAAGTCCCATGACAATAATTGCAGCCATCAGTGTTAGGCTATGAGCTGCACTAGTTGAACTGTTACCAGCTGTCTGTGAAATGATGGCCAAGTCTGGCAATCCCTTAAGACCATAGCTTGAAAACACGACATGAGTATGAATAAAGTAATACAGAAGCACATCACGGATTTCTTATGCTTTAGTTCTACAATGATGTGAGTGCCTACACTGTGCCAAAATTTAGTGAGTAATTTTTCTACACATAAAAACAAGGGCTCCTGATATTCTTTTCTCAGTGAAGTTGTTTGCCTGGCAGTTTTACCCTATCATATACCTTCTGTTTATAGTTGTCTTCTGTCTTATACCCAAGATGGAACTGATTTTAGGCAAAAGCTATGTGTATGTCATCTGAAATACTTTCAGCTATATTAGAGGCAAGACATGATTTAAGAGTAAAATATTAGCCACCATAGTAATACGGATCTGATTTCATGCACTCATGAAAAAGGAATGTGCCAAAATATATTTCAGCACACAAGCTGCATTTAAAGTGACCACAGTGCCATTATAGAAATAGTTCTCATATGCCAGCCCTGTATGGAACATTACGTCCAGGACAGTGCTGGTTACTGTGTCCCTTAGTTTTGCCTCCTCAAATGAATGAGTAAATTCAGTGTTTATGAAAGAAGAGTTGGCAGGAGGGTGAAGACCTGTGTTTATCCTTAGGTGGTGGTTTTAACTCATGCAGCCCGAATCTTCACTACAAGCTCTGCTCTGGGATCTCAGAACAAACTGATGCCAAGGACAAATGCCAAGGAGGGGTGACCTGGTGTGAGTCTGGCAGAGGCATGTGTGAGAGAGATACGTGATAGATAGAATAACATTTTTGAAAATTTTTTTCTGGTATATAATTTACTTAACGTGAATCCCCTTCTCATTAGCCTTCAAGGCATCAGGTTACATAAGGCAACTTTTGAATATTATTGCAGCACAACAAACTGAAAAAAAAAAATGAAATGCCTTTAAAACTGTGATGAAATTCGGTATGATTTGAAAGTTAATATGGTTTTGGCTTTCAAGATTCTGAAGCTATATGAACTCTACTCAGTTTTACTAATCCACAAGACAGAAGCTCAAGCTCCATTTTCCAAATTTGAGTTTAAAAATAAGTTTCATGATTTTTTTCTACACTATAAAAATACCACCTAAAATTCCTTGCTCTACCTACACGTTAAATAGCCAATTTTAAGTGACTCCAAAATGCTATAGGAAAATAATAATATCCTCAGGCATTGCAACTGCAAACTCACACTATAATTAAATCAAAATCAAGGTAGAACATATGTACTAATTTATGGAGGCAAATAGGTTTCTTTCATCAAAGCCTTATGTACTTACTGGAAAAAGGACAATGGGCACAGTTAATGTTACTGCCACAAGGACGGCCAGGCGAACCATGAGAAGGGGGATGTCGAATGTATACACTTTGCTGTAGGCATGAAGCAATTCATCTTCAACTTCTCCTACAATAAAAGAAAGAGAGTGAGTCCACTTGGTGTTGTCAAATCAGCACTTGTTACTTGTGACAACATTTTATAAGAGAACAGAGAACAGTGGAAAAGACCCAGGTCTGGGAATCCAGGCACCTCTAGTCTTACCTTTGAGCTCATTAGCTATGCAAGCTTCATTCAAAAGAACAAAGAAGTCCTGAAGCTTATAAAGTTGCAAGAGCTATAATACAAAATAAGGAGCCTCTCAAGCTCATTTGCATTGTGATAAATCTATCTCTGCTGTATAGAAGCAATTACAAATCAGAGAATGAGGTGTTCTTGTTGAAGGGGATGGGAGGCCCAAGCCCCACATCTTGTCTTTCCCAGGCTACCATCTCCCCTGCCCCTACCTGCCCAGCCACTCCTGATGCAGGTTACAAACCCAGTATGTAAACTCTAGGATGAATGATTGCTACAGTTTTTTCAAGCTCAACAACTATGACTCCATCACCACACTAAAACACATATTATTGGGCTTTTCCAAGTTTTGTCTGTCTTATGAAACTCATTAAACTGTATAAGTAACATGCAAGGACAAATTAGTATAAATTTTAAAGGGTCTCCCAAGGGATACTACTCCAAGATGAAGAAGCTGCCCTATTTGAAAACACAGTCATTCAGGATTCCAACACAAATAACAAGGAAATATTTATGGAATCGAATGTAGCTGGATTTTTGCCTCAAGATCAGAAAAAAAAGGGGGGGGGGAGTGAAAATACCTTAGTAGCATTGACCTTGACATTCATTATTTCACAACCAGCAAAATGTTAAGGCCCAATCTAAAGCACGTGATTGGTTAATAGTTAAATATTAGTAAAACAGAAAGAAAATCTAAGCAAATGGTGGCCTATTCCTGAATCTTTTCATCCATGATCTGTCATACATTCAATTCAATTTACCAAGTCAGTAAGAAAAAAAAATTTAAGTTAAAAACTTTAAAAAGAGTTTTATACAAAAAATATATTTATATTGATACACTGATTCATGTAAACATATGCTACAAGGTCAGTATGTGATTCCATGAAATCTGTTTGTGGGGCCATACTTCATGGAAGGCATACAATCCTACTTCCTTTGTGAACTGTTAAGATGCCAGACAGGAAATGTTGCAGGCATAATCTCATGTGGCCGTAGTCACTCTTTTTTTGGTAGTACATTCTCAGATTGAAGGAAATTCTGTCATGTCCTCTTTCTTAGGAAATCATTTGGTATAACAGAATAAAATGGGATATGTCAGAAATTTTACCTAAAGTCCCAAGATCCCAGATTTTTTTTTTTTTTTGAGACGGAGTTTCGCTCTTGTTACCCAGGCTGGAGTGCAATAGCGCGGTCTCGGCTCACCGCAACCTCCGCCTCCTGGGTTCAGGCAATTCTCCTGCCTCAGCCTCCTGAGTAGCTGGGATTACAGGCACGTGCCACCATGCCCAGCTAATTTTTTGTATTTTTAGTAGAGGCGGGGTTTCACCATGTTGACCAGGATGGTCTCGATCTGTTGACCTCGTGATCCACCCGCCTCGGCCTCCCAAAGTGCTGGGATTACAGGCGTGAGCCACGGCGCCTGGCCCCCAGATTTTACTTGCCTGGTAAATAGGAGGCAAGTTCAAACTCGAGGACTTAGCAGTTTCACTGGCATTTACTTGGCAGTTAATAATTCCATCAGAGGAGCTTTATTACATGCAAGTGGATTCCTTCTCATCACTTCTAGACTGAGCTGGACTATGGAGTCTAGCCAAAGAAATATCATCTATCCTCGAAGGAAAATAATTTCGTTTGAGGGATTTTTTTTTTTTTTTATAAAATATGTGATAATTCACAAATTGTTGTAACTTGTTAACCAGGCTGATTCAGGCCCCATTTCCTCAGGTCAAGTGACAAAACTAAAATATATTAACTGAATATGTGTCATCTATAGATCATGCTTATAGAAGGCAATTTAAAAAATAAAATCATACCTACCCAGGATTTGCATATAGAGAATGACTTTCACAGAGTGACCTACCATAGAAGGTTAGGTAACCAAAAAGGCCAGCAAGCAGGTACATGACAAGCATCCCCGTGATGGAAATATTTGATACTGTTTGCATTTTTCTCCGGGACCGACTGGAACAAGAAAGAACACCAAGCTTTGTTTTTTAAACTTATTTTTAAAAAATCACTTTTTAAAATGAAAATAATGAATAATAAAATGTATATCTGTATTGCTCATTATGAAGACACATTTCTAGTACATAAACTCATAGCTGATTTAAATTTATCTTAGAGAGCTAATGAGGATTCGTTTCCATTTTTCTTAAACACTACTCCTTCAGTCTTAAAAACAACCATTTCTCTAGAAGAGGAACAGTCTATTTCATGTTGGTCAGTAAGCCTGCCCATTTAATAAGAATGTAATTAACATAAAGATCAAATAGGCTCCTAACATAGAAAGCTTTTGCATTTCATAATGAGATGACTTTAGTTGAGGAAAAGAACCTACTAGAGTCAGCAAAGTACTAATGCCAAGAGTCCAGACTACTGGGAAGCCTGACATTGTTTCCTGAAAAGCTTCTGGGAACCATTCTCAATAGTCAGGCTTCTGGAGTAACTGCTACACATGATTTTCAAAGTAAATCATAGACTTCAAAATACTTGAAAGTGTGCTGAAATTTTTTATGAGGTAAATCAGAATTTATAGGGAAAGTTTTGCTACTTCGTGAGAATGAAGACTGAGATTACTGATGTCTGGATTAAAAAGTTGAGAATTATTATATGATATCCTCCCTTAAGGGAAAGAGGGAAACAGCTATAATGAGTTCATATCTTCTGTTCCCAAGCAAACATCAACAACTTCAAAGGAAAAAGAATACAAATGTATCATACATCATCAGCTGGAAGAAACAAGATTTTCTAGCCAGTGACTCCACTGTACAAATAAAACAACAAAGGACAGATACTGGTACATCTCTTGTGGTGAATGTGTTCTAGACAAGGGTTAGATGCTGACTGGATATGACATCAGTGGCTTATCAAGGCTGCCTGAACCATAAGTTTTGGTCTTCATGGCTGTTATCATTTCTAGTCCAGTTGACATCACTTCTTCCCAACAAAATTCAAATTTAAATTTCCAACATCTGCCACAGTGATTACAACCATTGGCTCCTTGTCTACCTGCCATGAATCCCTCCCCTGAACCATTAAGGTGGAGCAAAAGGAGAGAAAGAAGCAGATAAGGTAGTGCTGTGGTGGGCTGATTCCCACCTTTCTGATTAAAGCCCGTTACTGAGGAGTGGATGGAGTACATACTTCCTCTGAAGAGGAAGCTACAAACTGTGTTTTCTCTTAAAGAACCTTTGAACATATGAGGAGATTTTCAAAGCATATTAGAATGCTAAAATAATGGCTGCCTTACTCTTTAAGTTCACTGTAGATGGGAAGGACCTCAGGGTGGCATACAAAAGCAAATGCTAGGATAGGAATTGCATAGGCCGTCTGAAAAACAAAGACAACACCACGTGTTTAGCATTTCAACATAGATAGTGATCTCAGGCCATCTCAGTTTCTTGAATAAAAATTCAGAAAAACACATAACTGGGCTCATTAGAAGCCTGGACCTCTCACTTACCCGGGAGTTGAATACGAAATATTTGGGTTGACACTTGTCATCACTATGGGCTTCATACTCTACGCCACTGTTATGAAGAGAGCCCTTGGCCTGGTTTTCATCCAGCCCTGCAGGATTGCGATGAGTGTAATCCATCATGAAGTTCACATCAGAACTCTCAGAGTTGTTGGGTAACATTACTACATGCATTGGAAGTGTGTTGTTGAATGATAGATTTCCAACACTGTGATCCAAAACAGGCAGAGGGCAGGGTATTTGGAATTTCTTGTAAATCACCTAGACTCAGTCATTAAGAAAGAAAAATAAATCAGCCTTCTGAGAAAACACAATGAAATAAGAATCCATATGTGTGGCTTATGGGGTGGGTGGTGAGGGAACTCAGTTGGGTTCCTTTTAGACTGGACAAAGTAAATGGACAAAGTAAATTCCCTCTAGCCTCTGTTCTAAGGGAAGAGTTGGAACTGCGGTTGGCAGCCCTGCCTCTTAGAGTTAACAGGACAATATTTTGCATGAATCCTTCCCACCCTCTTTCATGCCTTTCCATGAGAAAGATGACCATTTCCTTGCTACATTTCATATCTTTTATTTCTTCAAACTAATGGTAACATGGGCCATCAAAACTTTTTTCCTTCTCCTTTACCTCTTTGGGGAAATGCTTTATAAATTTTGGCATTCATGATAGTACAAGAAATTCCCTCTTTTGTCAGTGGCCTGGAAAAGGAGGATTTCTTCTTTAATTCCACTGTGCCTGTCCTCTCTTAATGGGTGGAATGTGTGTGAGAGAATGGCTGACTCATCTGAATACGGCTATAGCATTCTTGTTTCCTTTCTGGGACTCTTCTCTATTATTCTAAATACTGGATTATTGTCATGTTCCTGCTTGAAGTGTTCCTTTTTCCTCAATATATACCCAGTGTGCCTAGACCATACGATTAGTAGTGGCTTTGATGATATACATCAACTATCTTTAAATCATAGCTGCTTTTTTTCTGTTCTATATTAGTCTACAATAAAATCACCTGTGATACAAGAACTATTTCATATTAGTGAAGTGCTTGAACAAAATGAGGATGCTAATTTAGGCACAAAAAAATCTCATGCTAACCAAGTTACAAGGATCATGTCATCACATCACTTACCACACTAACAAAAAACACCATGCAGGTAAGAGAAAATCCACTGGTATAGCCAAGATAACCTAGACATTAGAATAAAAATTTTGGAAGGTGAATACGGCATCTACAATCAGCTTACTTATGTAAATGTGAAATAAAAATATTTTTAGTTAGAAAATATCTTTACCTAAATTTTTAAGGAGCGAAAGTGGAAGAATAATTCCAACAGACACAAATATGACAAGGTAGTTGCCATTGAGGTACCATTCTCTAGAAGAGAAAGAGAGACAAGGTTATTAGAATCAAAAAAGAACAAGTAGAATGGGTCACTTGATGTCACAGAGGGAACGTAAGACATACCCAGTATTTTCTTCAAGTCCCATGAATGCTCTGATTACTTCAGGTAGTTCATATTTAATGATAAAGAGGTAGCTTGACATTGCTAAAATGGAAAATGTGACAGCTTAATGGTGTGCATAGCCCAGAAGTCACATGCAAGTCAGTCATGTCATTTGGGGTAAATAAGATGAACATCTAATCCCCCAAGTGGAAAAAAAAAAAAGCCATTGTGTATTTGGCACTGCTTTCAAGTTCTCTTCCAAGATAGCCATTCGACCCTCTAGCTCTTGCAGGTGGACTTTTGTTAACAGTATCAGAGCTGATTCTATGTTGAATTCAGCCCCAAAGTTTACAGTGAAGCTGTAGTTCTAAGGTTCTGCCCTCATTAGTTATAAATCATCATAGCCCATACTCAATGTGCCTGTATTAGTGTCTATAACTTGGGCAGTGGTCCTGCAACAAAAGGCATGGGTCAGCTGAGAGATGGCAGAATGAAAGGCAGATCTGTAGAGTCAATACATCCCCTCTGGCTTTCTGCAGGTGGGCACCAATCTAGTCCTCTGGGATCTGCTGAGGAGCACATAGTCTCAGACCACTTATTGTTGAAACCAAAGTTTTCCTGGATTGATGAAAGAATACAAGAGATAACAGCTTCTCCCCATCTTTGTCAAAGAAGTTTTTTGTTTTTTTTTCTCCTCTGCATCTCACTCTCCTTTTGGCCAAATAAGGAACTATAGAAAATGGCAAAATTTCATAAGCCTCTAGTTAAGTGATATATGAATGATCATCTACTCTTGTGAAAGATTTCTTGATGAAATCTACAAGCCCTCTCCCTGAAAAAATGAATATGTATTCATATGCATACCATTACAATTTTGCCTACAATTGTAAAAATTCATACATCACACCTTTTTCAAGTTCGTCCCTTTGGTGAAGGATAACACTAGTTTGTTGACACATGGCCAAAAGATTCAGTTAAAGATAGAACTCACAAATTTTACAAGAAAACTAAGTGTGTGCTACATCCTTCTAGTGAATTTTTGCTAAGAGGCACTTCAAAACACATGCTTAAGTTGTAAATTAAACTACTGAGTTTAAAAATATTTTCATTACTTCAAATGAAAGTAACAATGGTGATAATAATTCCCCCATTGTTTAGTTCTGCACATTACTTCATTTGATCATCTGACAAATCCTGTGAGATGACAAGATATATGTTGTTATTCTCATTCCACAAAAGAAGATATAAAAATTCTGAGATGTTAAGTTGACACATCCATGATCACACAACTTGAAAAGGACAGACTACATGTAAAACAGAAGGGCTGGCACCTCTTCTATATTATCAAAGTGAAATGATTTTTACAATACCGGATGTATCTTCTGTACACATTACTTGATCTTTGCAAAGACCTTGGCTAAAGCTAAATCTTACATAGCATGAACACAGGAGATATTTCTGATTAACTGGCTTGGTGAGGTACCATTCAATGTTAGAGCTATTAATTGCTGACTTTCAGTGATGTCAGTGATGTTAAAGTGTTTGGTCTTCAAAAATTCAGAATGATCCTGACATTACTCTGTTAAATGGGAAAATATCTGTGGTAAAGATTTACCACAGATATTTGGTAAATCTTGGGGGGATTTGGTAAATGTTGGGGGGATTGAGAAAATTAAATGGTCTAAATGTAGAGATGTTAAATACAGAAACACAAGTCATTCATTTCCCTTATGCCAAATATCAACTAATCATATAAAGTAACCAAAACAAGAGCACTTTTCTGGGATGATGGTATGAAATTTTATCTTACTCGCTTAAAGTCACACCTCTTACTTGTGTGTGGCTTGACTGAGAGACCACTTTATAGTTTATTTCATTATTTAGAAGCATAGTAGTGGCCATACTCTGAATCACAGATGACGTTGCAGCCACTCAGCTTGTTGAGTTTAGGGCTAACTATGCTTATGCCTGGTTATTTCAGTTGTTAAATTAGACCAGTTATAAGGTGATCCTACGAAATGCTTGATACTTCAAACCTTAGTAAGGTTGAGAGTTTGAAACAAATGTAAAGTGGTCTATTTGTTGGGTTTTGGGGGCTTTATGCATGTGGCTCTAAACCAGTAAAATGAATGAGATAATTCTGATATTACTGCCAAATTCTACCCAAGATTATAGTGTCAACATATAAAAATTTTTTTAAAAACACAAATCATTAAGATACAGTTGAATTTTATTTATCTGTTTACCAACTATCCATTATCAGGGCAGTCGGAAATCCTCAATAATTCCAGTGAATTTATTTACTAAAGTGGGTTGCTTGTTTGCAAAATCTCTGTACAAGTTATCCACTGTAGCATTTTTATAGCAGTTAAAAATTAGAAACAATCCAACTGTTCATTGGTAAGGATACTATAAACCAATTATGCCACATTTGTGTAATAGAAAACTCAAAAATCATTAAAAAGAATAACATGCAAATATTTTCAAAGCATATTCTTAAATTTAAAAAGAAAGCTGAAAATCAGTACCATAAGATGATCCAATATTAACAATACTCAATGCATTTTTGAATTAGGCATAGGAGAAACCTATGAGTTGTTATTTCTGAGGGTGACTGATGCAAACTTCTCTTGGTAATTTATATATTTATGTAGTGTTTTAGTTTTTCACAACCAGCATATGTTTGTTTTATAATTTTTTTTAGTGCCTTTGTAAGGTCATTTTTATACCTGAAAAATATATAAATGGTCTTTGTACAATGGACTTTCTAAGGTCATTTTTATACATGCAAACATTAGACAAAGGAGTAAAGTGATCTTCCCACGGTCACAGACAGTGACAGAAACAGACTCAAATTAAGGGCCATCACTCTCCAAAAGCTTATTTCTACTCAAGTGTTTTAAAATATCCTTTAGAAACTGTAACATACCAGATACATACCAACAGGACCATAAGAGCCCAGAGAAACTAGTATTTAACAGTCTAGAGAAGCAATATACCAGGTGAGCAGAGAGTGAGAGAAAATGTGTGTGTATGTGCGTGTGCGTGTGCATGTGCGTGTGTGTGTGTGTGTGTGTTAGGGTTGGAGGGCTTTGAGAGACATTCAAACGGAGAAAATAACCTGTGCAAATGTGCAAAGAAGGCATGGAGGATTTTTAAACATATTAAAATAATACTATTGGAGGACTAAATATAGTTTGTTATGGTTTGACACAGGACACGTAGGGTATAGATCATGGATAAATAGATTGATAGATAGGTGATAGACAGATGATAGAGAGAGACAGACAGACAGATATGGGAATTGCTAGGAAAGGCTTAGAAAGATAAGCAGAAAAACTAGATGAAGATCCTGTGTCAGTTCAATGAGTTTATGTTTTACCTTGAAAATAATAAGGGCATACTGAAGAATTTTATGCATAACAAAAGCATAAACAGAAACAGACTTAAATTTGAGAAAGTTTACCTGGAGAATAAATTAGGGTTTATCTGGGAGCAGGGGAAACTCAAGGCAAGAAGACCAGTTAGAAGACCACTGCAACAGTCTGAGCTAAAAATGGTGATCGTCTGTGGTCATGATGGTGGAAGGTGAGGAGAGATTCAAGAGATAAGCAAGAGATCAAATGAACAGGATGTGGCATTTGACTGGACATGCAGAGTTGGGGAAAAGGAAATGTTTACACTGACATCCAGATTTCTACCCTCAGAAACTGGATTATTGCTGGTGGTATTCACTGAGAAAAGAAAGATGAGAGAAATAGAATAGCAGGTTTAGGGACTGGGTAGGAGGTGAGGGAGTAAGTGTCACTATGTGGGGAGACAGTTGGGATCATGTGTCAGGAAGCAGCCAGTGGTACATCTGAAATATATATATGGGTTTGAGGACTTCTGAGGGCTAAAGACACAACAGAACCAGTATGAAGCTGGTGGGCAAACACACCAACAAGAACACTGTTAAAAATATATATTTTGAGGCCCTACACTGGAAATGATAATTCAGTGGGAACTATAAGAATCCGTAGAATCAACAAACCTGGGCTTATAGTGCATTTGATGCCTAGTCAGACAGTTGCCTTAGTAAACTTCTAGAGACACTGCCTAGTGGGCTGGCTCAGTGCAGCCTGCGTCTCAAGGACCACAGTATTTGGCTATGTTCCCCAAGAAACCCACTTCTCAGTTTTGCAAAACAAACTCTGTCACACATACAAAACATCAATCAACTGTTCTGGCAATGAAGAAATAAGCACAAATTCTTCCATTTTTAAGAGTAATAATTCATGCCATAACAACATTAAAAATCAAGAAAGCTTTTATTTTATATTTTAATTCCAGAATTCAATTGGCAGGATTTTATATATTATTTCATTCTTAGATATTGCTGTTTTTAATTAAAGAGGGACACAAATCTATTTAAGAAACTATAGTTTTAAAATTTAAGAACTCTAAGCAGCAATTTATCTGTATTTAAAGTGCTTGTTCATTGCCATAAGTTTTCTTATGGCTCTTTTTAATAAGTATATTCCCTTACCTCCAATATTCTGCATTGTAATGGAAATAAAAGCTCCAATTTTTCCCGGCCATCCAAATGCCTTTTCTCCTAAGTTTTCATAAATCAAAGATCCTACAATATAAGATAAAATAGCTTTGTTAAAAAGATTGTTTTAATGACTAAAATATTTTTGTTATATAACTCCACACTGAAGTCTCAAACATGTAAATAAACTTCATATAGAAATTACAAGCGCAAAAGATGCAATCTCAAAAACCAGTAAGCAATATATTAAAATGTTCTCCAAATAAGAAGCAATGGCTTTATTTATTTTAGCTGCATGTAGCAAGTCAAACAGTTCTTTCTATCATATATCAGAAATGTCTTTTTTTCCTATTTGTCTTGAACCTGAGCCAGCTGACTTTCCCTCCTGCCTCTCACTTGCCCAAACAACTAAAAACATTGAGAGATCATGTCACTGGGCTCAGAAGAAAATGAAATGTGAAACTGACTACAATCATCCTAAGGTTATGAAGCAACAGACTGAAATACTCTTATGAGAATTAAAATAGAATGTGTTGGACTCAAGCAGTAGCATACCTCCTTCCTTGGCTGTTTTTAATAAAAGATGAACTGAGTACAGTGATAATACTGCTACAGCAAGCAGCATGATTCTGTAAAGGGAAGAGAGAGTAGGTAATAAAGTTTCTATAATAAAAAAGACATAATTATATTAGATGTTACAGTAAAAGATCACATTAATCTTTTTAATCATCAAATTTCCAAAAGTATGTGGGTTTGGGGGAAGCTGATAAATTCTTTTCAGAACTCTACACATAACCTTTAAAGTCATAGAAATAGAATTTGCTATGTTTTACATGCCCAAATCTACTACCTGAAGTAACTCTTTTTTAATGTTACCCAGTTATAGAATCTGGTTCATAGCTTAGATGCTAAGTGTACAGCAAAATTAGCAAATGCTACATCTACTTAGCACATGGGAATATGCACATCATATTTGCATGATATTCACATCAGCACTTAAAATTGAAGGGCTATTCATTAGCCTGACTAAACCTTAATCTGAAATCTAGGAATCCAAAAGCCAAAGCATGCAATCTGAGCTGCCTTACTGCTGATCCTGTGCATTAGATAACAAATGTAAGCTAGAGGGGCAAGCAGTTGCATATATAATAGAGAAAGCAGAGAAAGCTAAAGATGGGGCAGGAAAGTTCCTTTATTTTTGCTTTCAGAGTCATTTCTGCTGTTAGGACCCTCTGCATGTCCACATGCATTTATGGTTTCTTTATGTTTATGCTGAATGGTATTTTTCCAAATCTAAGACTTGGAGCACAAAAGTAAGAATAAGAATGTTGATAGAAGCATCTACATAATAAATGGAGGAATAATACTAACTTTTACCTGTAACTAAAAAAAAAAAACACACACTTTCCTCACAATTGATCTACTCTTTTGGAATTCCCAATGAAATCAATATTACAAATGTACATTTAGACCATGAATTATAAATTTTATGACCCTTGTAACTATATTTTGCTCTTATTTTCCATGAAGTATGTCTGCCAGAAGTGTCTAACCAATGACTTATTACTGTGTTTTTCCATACGCCTTATGAACTTAACTGTTTTTAAGGAATAATGTAATTCAGATTATATAATTTTGTTCTCTGGAAAAATAATGAGCATTCCCTATATTCTAAACATGCACTTTTTCTGGCAGAAAATACCAACAGTAAAACCAATGAAATACTGTGTCACTTGCTATAAATTAAGAGAGAAAGCTTAATCCAGTCCGTGCTATTTAGACACACAAAACACACTTCATGATGTTTAGTGATTTAATTGTTCTGATCAAATTAATCTGCTAAATGTTTATAGGCCTGAAATGAGGCCTTCATTTTAAAAAAATGGAATATTCTTCTCTCATGAAGATAATCTATGACTCTAAGATCGGGGTAAGTGTTGCCTATTCATCAGTGATCTGTAACTTCCTAACTAATTTTAATGGCATGTATAATTGATAAAGGAAGGCAGCTTTTTTGTCTTAGAGGTAATGCACATTACAAAATCATACAAATAATTGACTATATAGCTATTAAAATTCAGATTATTAAAAAACCTACTTTATCTCAAACATGGCTTATATAAAAATAAAGTTGATATAAATTCCATTCAGCTAAAGAATATTATACATAAAAGTTTAATCAAAGCACTAACACAATATAAATATTTATAGTCCTGATCCTTAGCCCTCAAATAGCTGTGTGATTACTAATCACATGTGATATTCAGAACATAAATAGTACATATTTATGATATAAATGTTGCATTCTTAGACAATTATTTAACTCTCTAGCACTGCATCTGGGATTAGGATCTGTGTCCACAGTGGTGGCTAACATCAGACTTTATTCTTGTGAAGAATTCCACTGCTGCTAACTATATCTTGGAAAATACCAGGCTGTACATGATGCACATAAATGTCTATTGTTGTCTGTCAGAGACAGTGCTGTATCCACCCTACAGGTCAACTACCAGATGCCACTTTTAGGCAGCATTTGAACAAGTTTGGTGAAAGTGCATAGGTTTAGGAATAGGGTTTGGTCACTCAACAAATATTTCCTGTACCAGGCACTGCACTAGGTTTTGGGATAGAGACAATGGTAAGTAAAAACAGACATGAACTCAACTTTCTAGAACTTATGTCTGGCAAGGGAGACAGATATTTAACCAAATGAATCAGACAAATCGCGTTAAAACTGGTGAGTGTATGATAAGGTGATTTGCCCCAGTCATGGAGATCAGGGCAGGCAGCACTCAGGCAAGGCTGAACTGACATATGAGGAGTTAACTAGTGAAGAAGATAGAGAAGAGGGTTCCAAGAAAATGTGCAAAGGCCTGGTGGTGAGAGGGAATGTGGCATCTTCATGGGATGGAGACAAGGCTTATTGTGTCCAGTATATCTTTCACACAGGGGCACAGGAAACAGGATATAAGTGGGGCCAGGGCATGCAAGGCTCTTAGGCTTGGTTGTTTCTTTCCTAAGAATGAGACAAAATTGCTTCTGGGAAAGATCTTTTTGACTGCAAAACACCAAATTATTTCAAGTACCTACTGAACAATGAAATGCTTCTGGTGAGGCTGCTCTAGCACTTTGGTTGGCTGAGCACATAAACTTTCTGCCATTGGATTAGGGAGAAATCACTAATAGTTGGGTGAACAAGTACCATGATTAGCCTCCTCTGACTTTTTCTCAGGTTGCTGTTCTATCTAAAAGCCAGAGGAATTCACAAATACTTTCTCAGATTGCTCATGTTTACAAAGATCAAACTTCAGATTGTCAATTGAAAGAGCCACCAGGTATGCATAGACTTCATCACCAAATGTTGACATCCACATTCACTTACATAAAAAGTATGATCCCTGTGTTGGCCATGGCATAGGACAAGCCCAGGATCCCACTGCCCATGATGGCATTACTCAGGTTGAATGAAGACATTCCGAAGGAAGTGGTTCCGGGATGCTTGAAGAAGAAGGGATGTATTATAAGCAAGCATTTGCCAAAGGGCAAACCTTTGGGGGTTACCCTTATTCTCACATTATCTTTTCTGCAGATTACAGTCCAAAATTGAAGACTAAGATAAAATTACAGTGAGTAAAGCCATTACTCAACAGCAATAAAAGCATGTAATCTTCAACGGAATGCAGTGCTTGGTTTCAGCAGAGGTCTCAGTAAAAATAAAAATTACAAGGGGAGTCACATAAAGAAGGAAAAACATGTATGATTGCAGATTACCTTTGGGTTAGAATGATTTCCCACCAAAACACATAAATTTCATAAATGATTTATTCAGCCATATGGCGAACAGGAAAAAACAAGCCCTTATTCCAGTAAGGGCCTGAATAAACAGAGAATGTGCTGATCAAGGCTTGGAAAATTTCAGTCACATTGTTTTCCCACAGACACCGAGGTAGATCAGACACCCGCAGTCCTGTTTATTGCCTGAAAACATAGATTCACTTACATGTTCATCACCATAATCTGCCAGCTTCTTTTTCGCCAAAAATCCATTTGTCAGGAATTTCTGACTTTCAGCGTCTTCATTAGCAAATTGACTGAACACATACACACACACACACAAATAAGAAAGTAAAAACATCTAAATATATGCCCTAAATCATCTGTACATTTCAGGTGATCTAAGTAACTGAATCAGAGGAGGGAAAATAAGATACCCCATTTTTTTTTCTTTTCTTCCTTCACATTAGCAGTCATCCCAGAGCAACAATGGAGCTCCATTTGCAAATATACTTTGGGATGGAAGAAGGATGTTATGAAGGAAGGAAATATTATTTTTTAGTTAAAAATTGTTTCTGGGAGATTTCTTCTTTCTCACATTAGCTATGCAAGAAAGAGGCTTAACTAGATCTAATTGTGATCCCATTTAGAGCCCTTTCAAAGAAAGAGTACAGGGAAACGATAGAGTTTTCTGATCTACTACCATACCATAATCAGATGATTGTATTAATTCAACCAACACTGATTAAATGCCTAGGCACTGTGTTTCTAATCTCATGTGATACTCAAAATATTCCTACGATGAGGCAACTGTGACTCAGAAAGGTGAAGCAGCAGGCCCATATCCACCAGGCCCTATTCTCCCTCTGGCATCAAGCAGTCCCAGACAGGACCCTGTAGCTGGTATTTTCCTCTCTCTCTCTCTCTCTCTTTTTTTTTTTTGGCACAATCGTTTATACATATATTTCCTACTGGAAAGTAATTCAATGGTAGCTCTGTTTTGTGTTGGCTGTTTTTGTATGTGTGTGTGTGTTTTAATTACTGTCAAAATGTACATGGATTATTAACAGGTAACGAATGAAACTAAGAAAAATATTAAAACAATTCAATGAACTGGCAGAAGAGTTGGAAGAAAATTTTAAGATGTCACTGTCCACAGAGCATTATGATTGTGGTTTTCTTGGGCACACGATGGAACCTGTACAACTTGATCATAGATAGAGCTGTGCTGGTCAGCTCGTGCAGTTATATGCCAGGGGCTTTGAGGCTACAGACCTAGGACCAGCCACATTTCCAAGAGGCTCAATTAATAAGGCCTGCTGCTGCCATTGCATTTTTATACTGCAAAATGTCACAGACTTTTTAGTTGTTTTTATATAAAATGATCAACTATGTATATTTCTTAAAGGTGCTTTCAAATTGATGGTTCGAAAATTTTGGGCATTTCCTACATAAAAAGTAAGATAAAAAGTAAGATAAAATAATTGAAGAGTGTTCTATTAATATAATCTTAGGGGGCGGGTACAGTGGCTCATGCCTGTAATCCCAGTGCTTTGGGAGGCCAAGGCAGGTGGTCACCTGAGGTCAGGACCAGCCAACATCATGAAACCTGTCTCTACTAGAAACACAAAAAATTTGCTGGACGTGGTGGCAGGCACCTTAATCCCAGCCATTCATGAGGCTGAGGCAGGGGAATGGCTTGAATCCGGGAGGCAGAGGTTGCAGTGAGCCGAGATCACACCATTGCACCTCAGCATGGGCCACAAGAGTGAAATTCTGCCTCAATAATAAATAAATAAAGTAATCCTTAGAAATAAGATAGAAAAGAATTATTTTAGGAGATCTGTACAAACTGCTTTTTATAACAGAAGTGAATCCTGAAAATAATCTGGAAAAGAAAGAGGATGGCAGGGTTAATTTTTGAGAATAGAAAACAGTACAAGATGTAGATAGAAAAAGCAGACAAAACCACAAAGTTTTATGTGCTTTTCTAGAACTCAAGACATAAATAGCTCTGTGTACACAAGTTAAGAACATTTCCTGGCCTTCTGCCACATTTCTCATGGAAAGCATAATGCCCACAGTTGTTGCCTTCTTCCATTTCCATATACCCCTTAATGGTCTGTAGTTAATGTACCTGCTATGTGAAGACTGGTACATAATGTTTACAGTTGGAGACTGAGATGACAGGATAAAATGAAGCCTAAAATGGGCCTAAGAACTATAAACACAAAAGTGCCACCTATAATTTAAATGCTGGAATGTCCAACACTCTATTCTTTATTTTAATCAATAAACTTAAAATCTGTATTCCATGAGTAGTTTTTAAAATTTAGAATTTGAAAATAAACAGATTTTCTTTCTTTGAGGCATTTGCATGTTCTTATTTTGGCATGAGATGAGTTGTAGTCATTAAACATGCCAAGATTGTATAAAATATATGAGAAATGTCCCCAGTATACTAAATGTTTTGATACCAAACCCAGCATGTATTAAAAACACAAGTATAATGATCACAAATAAATACATTATGTTGAATTTCTCAAAAATTTACATTTAAGGGTTCCATCTAAACCACACAAAGATAAAATCCATCTCTTTAAACTGATTTTTAAAACTGCAAAATGATGGCCTATGTTTAAACCAGGACATAAAGGGTAAGTCACTGTGAGTGGTTCAGAACACATTGCATGAAGCTTAACAAAAGCATTGATGCTCTTTCCATTCTGGCTTTTGAGGACCAAGTGGAATGACACTATGACAGTTCTTGGGTGGGTGCCCCCTTTAGTTTGGTCAACCTCTGCAGAGCTCATACTTGTGTGCATTCCTCTTAGAAACAAGCATCTTCAGGTTTGGATCAATTTTCTAAGGGTAATGCAGCGAAGGAGAAGTAACAAAAATTATTGAATGTCATCTATATACTGGGCACTCATCTCATCCTTGAAAAGCAGCTGTTGGTTTGCCATTTTACATTTGCCACTGAATCTCAAAGAGGACAAGAAGCTTTTCTAAAGTCAGGCAGACTCCAAAGCCCTGTCTTCTACCCTCCTAGTGTTTCCTCAAGGGTCACCTGATTTAGAAAATGCCATAATTTACATCTCAGTGGCCTCTCTAGTCCAATAACCCTAAGATTCATTGCACTGAGCTACTTGAAAGAAGAACAGTGCTTCCTCCTGATGGCCTTTCCCAGGTGATGTGAATAAAATGAGAAGTCTTTGTTCAAGCATAATATTCTCTATTTCAAGCCTAGATTTGGTCAAAAATTCCCTTCTGAGCATCTTAAATAATGTACAGTTTGATATAACATTTTGTGGAAAATCAATTGACTTATCAAATAACTACTGTGCACTTACTATGCACCAGGCAATGTGGCATGTGGTAGGACCACAGAGACCATTAACCTGTAGTAGTGGTGTAATTAACATCTGCATAGGGAAAGGGTGCATGAAGGAGGCGTGGTCACTTCTACCTGGCGGGGTAGAAGAATTTGGAAAAAACTGCATAGGAGACCTGAAGTTGAGCTAATTCTTGAAGGATGAAAGGTGTCAACATGGGAAAAGTGGGAGCAGGTGACTGATTCCAGGCAGCTGGAGCAGAATGAGTGAAGGCAACAAGTAACAAATAGGGAGGGGGCAAAAGACAGTATAGGAGAGGTAGGTCAAGAACAGATCACAAATGACCTTACATGCCCAGCAATGTGTAATCTACTTTCTCTTATGGCTAATGGAGAGGTGCAGAAGGGCTTTATCTGAGGGCAGAAATTGATTCCATTTTCAGTTGTAAGATCACTCTTGCAGGAGTGTAGAGGACTAGACAAGAGGAGAGCAAAATGTAAGACAGCAAGACAAATCAGAGCTGTCTCCCTGTCTCACATTTAATGCAGGCCTAAGGTAAGACTGCAGTAGAATGGATATAAAAAAAGTAGTGGATTTGAAGCATTAATAAAGTCGAACCAATTGGATATTAACTGGCCATTGGCTATGTGGGTCAAAGTTTACACCTAGGGGCTTTTGAGTGAGTTGCTGGATGATAGCGGTGATTTTCACTAGGAAGGGGATTACTAGAGGAGAAGCAGGTTCTGAAGGGAAAGACAGGAGTTCAATATTAGACATCACAGGTTTAACTTTATAAATGAGGCAATTCAGACACAGTAGTGGTCCAGTAGAGATGAGTAGTAGACAGTCGGATATAATAATCTGAAATTCAGCAGAGAAACTTAACAGGCTGGGGATATGGCATATATTCACTGAGTGAAGCCGTAATAGTTGTGAGGGAGCTTGCTCAGAGGATACTTTTAGAAAGAAAAGAATCCCTACAGAAACCAGGAGATGCAGCAATATTGAAAGAGGAATTTGAGAAAGGTCAAAGGAGCAACAGGCTAATATAATTAAAATTATTACACATTATTAATGGGGACAAGGACATTGTAGCCTCAATTTTAAAACAGTTACAAAATGGATTCACATTATCACTATATTTCAGGACCAGGGAGTTAATGTGCTAGCATCAATGTCATTGTTATCTCAAATTTACCTGTAATATATCCAATTCTTCCCATCAAGATCCTTGTTTTCCATATCCACATTATGTCTTATTTTTCCATGGAACCTAGTAACTTTAACCCCATACCTGCTCATTGCTGCCTTTTCTGAATTTCCTATCCCGATGTAGCTATCTGGAACACTCTCTCCGCTGCTGCTCTCATCATCTGGTTCGATGTTGACATTTCTCAGTTCCATGGGATCCATTTGAGCTGTCAGCACTTTCTTGTCCACACACAAGCCCCTTCAGTGTAAATAATATACTGTACCTTCAGCTTAAGGCTCTTCCACTTTGTGTTGATATTCAGAACACTCTGTTCTGCAAAAAGAACACAACATACATCATTATAATTTTATTTAAATAAAAAAAAGTGAACACGAATCATCTACATTTTGTATGTTCACTGTAAAAGGAAGGAAGAGAGGAAACTCTTGAAAACTTTACATAAACAAATCCCAAAAGTTTCCTTTACCCAATACAAGAAAGAAAAAAATGGAAGAGAAGAAAGGAAATTACTAATAATTGCTAAATCATCAGATAGTTATGGAGTGCCGATGTATAATGAAAATGGTAGGTTTTACTAGTCACTATGAAAAAAAAAAAAAAGAAATCTTAAGACATGGCAGCGGTCTTCATGAAAATTTTGGTATTTATGAGTGGAATACATGTTTTAAAAGAAAGGAAGACAAAAGTAAATTGTTGACAAAGGAAGGTCTGCCAAGGCACAATCTACCAGTGTCTTTACTAGCAATAACTAGAAAGAAAATTGCTGCTTTAATTTAATTGGACATGAAAGAATTAACAGCACCAAAATGCTTGATAATATGCAGCATAGGTGAGGATCAAGTTTCGGAAGTCACTTTCTAGGCACTTGGATCCTGAAGCAAAAGTTAAGAATAGTAACAAAAGAAAGTTCAGATTTACCTCTGGGTCAGCATCAGTCAACACCTATGTCAAATTAAAATGTATTTTAATAACAAAGAAATCTAGATTTTAGGCTCTGCTCTGCCTTTAATTCACTGGATCTCAGCATAAGTCATTTAACATTTGGGGACCTCATTTTCCTCAACTATAAAATGAAAAGGGGTGGACTGGAATTGTGTTTTTGAAAAATGCCCTGAATCTACTATATGTTGTTGATATAATTTCTTCAGAAATTCTTACCATTAGATTCATTCAGTTATTGTTGAACCATTATATTAGGAGAAGCACTATCACTCTTGAAAAGTGTGGTCCTGAAATGTGCAATACCCATTTGATAAGGAAATCCTGAGTAGAGAAACTGACATAAAAATTGCTCCAGAAGTCACAAAATCTGCAATCTCTCTAACAAACAGAAACTACTACATGGGAATACCTCTACAACCCATGGCAATGAGTTGTAGTTCCAGAGGTATTGTATTAGTTTAGTATAGTATAGTATAGTATTAGTTCCAGAGGTACTGCTTTGGAATGCAATTCACACTTGAGAAATGTTCACATCCTCAAATTACAAAACATAAAACACACATGGAAACTCACTAGTAAGAGTGCCAGTAGGCACAAGAAATGATAAAATTCACATCTAAGGAACTACAAATAGCAAAGCCATTTAAAAGGGACTTTTACATTACTATAATAAAAGGTAAAAGAAAACATTCAAAATAATGTAACTTTCACAGAATAAAAAAATTATAAAAGAATATAACAGGCTAGTTGCAAAAAGAGCCAAAAAATGAATTCTTAAAAAAAGAAAAAAAAATAGAATCATTGAAATTAAAAACAAAAAACTCAGCTGAAGGAAGAGTTATAAAATTGAAAGACAGATCTGTGGAAATCACTCCAATTATAGCACGAAGAGACTGAAAGAAAGGAAAATACAAAGAAGTAGTTAAGATGAATGGGGAAAAATAAGAATTACACGTTCAAATACACACTAGTTGTCATTCCAATATAGAGAGATGTGAGACTAGGGTGAGGCAAAACATAAGGAGATAATGGCAGATATAAAGAAAGCAGTTCTCAGAATTAAAACAAAAAATTGCACACAGTGTTTCAAGCAGGAGGAATAAAAATGAATCTCTTATTGCTATAAGGCAGTCTAAGTGTATAACATAAAAGATCAAGAGAAACAAGTTAAAAGCTAAGAGAGAACAGAGGTAAGACATGCATATGGTTAAGAGAATAGAAACTCACTAAATGAGTACAAAGGTTTTCCTCACTCTTCACACAGTACCAGTTTCACTTCCCAGCAGCAACCACTATTGACAGTTTGTTTTTAGCTCATCATTTAAAGTCAGGCATTCTAGATCTAAATAATTCACTAACACTTTTTTGACTTGGTTTACTGATTTTAGACTGGTTACCCATAAAAAATAAGGATGTTAGCATACTTTTTCTAGCCTTTCTTCCTCTACACTCCTAATTATTTTAGTTAATAAAATATTTGCATAATTTGAGAATCATAGTATTTTCATATTGTTCTGTGAAACAAATGTGCCATAATTTGCTTGTTTCTAAACATGGAAAACTAATAAGCAGCAATTGCAGTATTATCATTGTATAAATAGTATTCCCTAAAGACAAAGTGGTATATTTGACTACATAATAAATGAAATATAATTCTATATTACCAAAACTTTGAAAGGAAATTTTCTATGCTCTTTTCATTCTGAATGGCTTCCTCTTCCAACCTCTGGGTCTTGCTCAGCTGCTAGTTTCTTGAACACCATTATATCTTTCTTCAGTTTATTTTGCATTATGGTAAAATAATGCCTTGAATAACTTTTTCACACAATGAGCCTATGCCTGTAAACAGAATTTCTGAGTTGTTTCATGTTGGAAAATGTCTTTATTTTGCCTTCAAACTTTGTTGATTGTTTGAATTCTAGATTCAGAAGCGTTTTCCTTCCGAATATTGAATAAACTTCTGTCTTCTAGCTTCTATTGATGAGTCTGGTTCTTATTTCTTTGTGCAAATAACTTATTGATGTTTTTCTGAGGATTTTAGAATTCTTATCTTTATCTGAAATTTCATCACGATGGGTCTAGATGTGAGTTACTTTTAAAATCTATCATATTCAGCATGCAGAGGGCCCATTTAATCAAAAGGCTTGTGTCTTTCTTCAATAGAAGACACACTTTCTTCTAAAAATAGTAGAAAAATGTTCTACTATTTTAAGAAGCTTTTTCTTCCCCTTTGTTTACTCCTAAAACTTTCGTTATTAGGTATTAGACCCCTTGATCCATATTGCTTAGCTTTTCTGTTTATGTTTGATCTGTTCGTCTTATTTAGGAATATTTCCTCAATGTCACATCCAAAATAACAAATTCCATCTTCAGCTATATCTGTTTTATTTTTCAACTTGTCAGCTATTTTTCTCAATCCTGCTCTAATTTCTAATAATTTGCTCTTATTCTCTCTCTTTTTTCATATCACTTATGTTTGTTTGTTTTATGGGAACAATATTTTCTCAGATCTTTCTAAAGATATTCATGTGAGGTTTTCAGAAGTTCCTTTTGTTCCCTAAATTATACGTTTCTTCTGAAGTTAGTTATTCTGTTTGGTCCTTCTCTTCCATGCTGCTCATTTTCCTTAGTTTCAAGTGATCCTAGGTTTTCTGTTCATATTTGTGAATGATGGAGAGCATTGATTAGCTTGGACAGGTGGTACTCGCAGCTTCTCTGAAATTGTGTGGGCCCGTTTCACCGATGGGCTGCTCCCTTGTAGGTTCTGTGCAAGTGGTTCTTCTGTGGCTTGTCTGCGGGACCAGCATCCAACTTCCAGACACAGCTGCCACTCCAGGAGTAGTTATTCTGGAGGTGAAGCATTTCAATGTATCTTCTTTTTGGTAGAGCTTTCATTCCTGCTTGTTATACCACTTTGTCTGAAGTAGAGGCCTTAATACTTATCCTAGCCTCCTTCCTCAAACTTTTCTTACAGATTGGATCACAGCTTTAACCTATAGTCAAAAATGGTATCCCAAACAGACCACCATGTCTAAACTGAGGTTCCTTGATGGATACCTGATCACTGGTTGCCCATGATCTATGCCTCTTCTTTGTCTACGCTGACTTAAGTTGAAGCTGCTGCAGGGCTCCCCATGGAAAAAGCACACTTACCTTGGTTCCTTTTCTCTTTCTCAGATTTTTCAACCCTATCATCTTTCTGCCTTCTAGGAGTTTTCAAAAATTTCTGTTTGTTGATGACACCACTATTGCTTTTCACAGTTTTGTAGTTTGGCCTTTTAAAAATATGATTTTGTGTGAAGTTTCATTGTTTGATTTCCCTAAAGCTAGATCCTAAGCCCCCTTCTTCTAATCCACTTCCAAGACTTCATATAATGTGATTTTTTTTTTTTTTTTTTGAGATAGAGTCTCTATCTATCGCCAGGCTGGAGTGCAGTGGCAGCATCTCAGCTCACTGCAACCTCTACCTCCCAAGTTCAAGCAATTCTCCTGCCTTAGCCTCCCGAGTAGCCAAGACTATAGGTACTCACCATCACGCCTCGCTAATTTTTGTATTTTTAGTAGAGACAGGGTTCACCATGTTGGCCAGAATGGTCTCGATCTCCTGATCTTATGACCCACGCACCTTGGCCTTCCAAAGTGCTGGGATTACAGGTGTGAGCTACAGCACCTGGCCATGATAGGTAATTTTATGTGTCATTGTGGCTAGGTTAAAGGATGGGAAGATAGCAAGTAAAACCTTATTTTGGGGTATGTCTGTGAGGGCGTTCCTGGAAAAGATTACCATTTGAATCAATAGACTGAGTAAAAAAGATCCACTCTCACCACTGAAGGTGAGCATCCTCCAATCACTCCAGATTCCAAATAGAACAAAAAGGCAGAGGATGGGCAAATTTACTTTCTTTACTTGAGCTAGGACATCCATCTTTTCCTGCCTTCTCCTGCCTTTGAACCCTGGAACTCCTGGTTCTCAGACCTTGCAGTTCTGACACTTATACCAGCAGCATCCTGTTTCTTAACCTTCAGCCTCAGATTAAATTACACCACCAGCTTTTCTGGTTCTCCAGCTTGCAGATGCTGTATTTTGAGACCTCTTTGCTCCATAATCATGAAAGCCAATTCCCATAATAAATGTCATCTTATATCTACACACATCTATATCTGCCTATCTATTTATCTCCAGTTGGTTCTGTTTCTCTGGAGGACTCTGATGAATGCATGGACCAAAGACTGCTCAAGTTACATAGTCTAGGCTTCTCCTGGGAACTCAAGTTCCATGTGTCCAGGGGCCTAAATGTCATCTACATATCTCAGAGGTAGTTTAAATTCAACGTGTCCAAAATCTAACTTGTGATAGGCCCCTCTTCTTC